TTTTAAACACTGGTAGATTCCAATCGGCTTCCCTGCAAAGGTGTGGTACCATTTAACACTCCAGCAGTAACATTTCCTTCACATTGTTTGTTTTGCTTTGTCTTGTTCTGTTTTCTGGGAGGGGACATCTAGGCCAAGCCTTGATTTTGCTTGTAAATCTACCTGAGGCTTTTGATGCAATCAGGTGATGGCTAAGTATACACAGAAAAAGGATCAGATCCAAGAACGTGGCTAGAGCTGAGCAGGAGGGCTGAGGTCCAGATCCCATGGGCCCAGAGCATCTGACAAAGACAGAAAACTGGAACCATGTTCACGAGGAAATCAGGAAAACCATGCTGAGAAGATAATACCAAGTAGTGTATTATTCCTTTCTAATGGTAAGAGGGAGATTTCTATTTCCTGACAGGGCAATGACATAATAGTAGCATTCTTCTGATTGGCTAAATTGTTCTTAAATCACAGATGAGAAGTTATATCGGCCAGAGAGGGTTGGCTGCTAGGAGGACAATGTTTAGTAAGTTGGAAGGACAAACCAATATCTTTTCTGTCCTACTTGTACGGATCAATGCACAGCTATTTCTAACAATTTCACTAGAACTTGGGTACTGGAAAGCAAAGCTCCTTTACTGTTATCGCTTTTTTGTTTTCTGACATTACAAGACCATGATACTATTTTTAGGAAATGTCACATGGAAGACTAACATTGGTTCTACTCAGATGCCCCAACGTGGGACAGTTTCAACAGGATTTGGGCAGCTTTTCCATGTCTTATTTCTTTTATTTTTACTTGTTGATATTAAAAATTCTCAGGAAAGAGTATAGTGTCACTATATTAGAGAAGATCAAATTTCCAGCCCTAGGCCACATAGAAGCAGCCTGAGAGTCAGCCTCAGGCCCTTGCTCCTGGTAAGTTCCCATTGGTGAATGGCTAAGCTGAACCACACTGTGGCTACTGTGAAAAACACAGAAGGGACCATACAAAAACCACCTTGAAATACCAAATTCAGTTTCTTTAGCTATATTCCTGGGATTACTTGATTACGTGGGGATTCTACTTTAATTCACAGTATACATACTGTTGTGTCTTGTTCTGTAGGACAGAAGAAAGAAGTAGATTTGGTACCTTGGGGTATCAATTTTATCTCCTTTCTCAAAAGTGTCAAGAGAACCTACCTTTTTATACTTCAGTGGGTCTCAGAACTTACAATGTGTGAATTTACTCAAAAAATGTGGATAAACTATTACAACTATCAGCTAATAATTTTGCTTAATAGAAATAGAACTACATACATCTTGGACTAGACTCTTGAGTTCACTGATATCTCAGAAAAACAATTTATAGTTGTAGAACAGGATATCAAAAAAGGACTCTTAGAAGTAGAAAAAGTATGTGGTGTGTGTGTGCTTTTGTATATGTGCATGCATGCATTTATGAGTAGGGTGTGCTTTTGTATATGTATGCATGTGTGTATATATTTGTATTTTTTTAAAGTTTGTATATTTCTGCCACACACATTCACTCTAGAAAATGTCTGGACTATGTTGCTGAGTTTTTTGAGATAGTACTTCATGGGAAGATATCACTTGACTTTCTGAGGCTCAGACATAGACCATGTATAATTTGAAACGCCATGAGATTCAATATAACTTGGATGCAAAGATGATCATGAATATAACATTCTTTCCACTTCTATGATATGACATATCCCATCTGTTTCCTGCTGGGCGCACAGCCCTAAACTGCGGTCCTTGATTGCCTGCACTCTTAAATGAGTTTGTGTATCTACATCTAGGTATAAAAGCTGTGGAAAGAGTGACTACTGTACATGGCATACAAAGAAACTGGGGAACTCTTAGATGCTGCAGGGATAGCAAAGAGGGCAGGGATAAGTGGTCCAGAAAAAAATGAGAATACAAATCCCTATCTTCAATGAAATCTATTAAATCTAAAAGTCATTGACTTAGCTAAATATTTGGCATAAACTAGTAGTAGAGGGAATCTTGGCCATATGGGAGAATAGGGTGGTCCATAAAACAAGACTTCAGGATAAACAGGATGATGGAGAACTAGGTTCCTGGAAAGTTGAAGAAAGAGTTTGGATTTCCACAGTCTGTGTGTACTTGATTGAATTACACATGCACTTTTGTGAATATGATAAGGTCTAACTTTACTGTATTATATATGTGGGCATATATTTATTTCTATGTCAATTTAAATTACTAGTAGGAGAAGCAACACATTTGTTGTCTTGTTTACTACAATGTAATTGTTCTTAGGAAAGATGATCTGAATTTGTTGCACTTAAATTGGTATGTGGGATCAGTTTTACCTTTAGGGCACATTTGTTAGTCTCTACCAGCACATCTGTACAGGTCAGTGATAGTAGTCAGAATTCTGCAATGCACAAGATAGACCCATTGCTAAGAATTCCTGACCCAAGTCCCCAATTAGGCCCAACCTCAATCTTGTCTTAGAACAATCACTTACTTTACATAGAGAAAGCGAGCATCAAAGGGGGCCAGTGAAGCATGCAAAGTTGCACTGAGCAAACAGGAGAGGTAAGTCCTCTAGTGCATCTCCATCATGCCACTGTGCTTCAAAGAGCTAGTGTTCTACATGGAACTGCTGAAAAGCAAATACTGCCGTGAACACGTTACACTTCAGATACGGTACATAACTGCACAAACCTTTAAAACATAGCAGGGTCAACATCAGGCCACCGCTAATGTTGGTTAGGCCAGGCAAGGAGAAACACAGAGGATTGAATTATGTAATACATATTCAGATATCGTATGACAACCATTTTCATATCTGACCAAATTACTGCTACATGTACTGGATCTTCACATTTCTCACAACTGCCTGTAAGAACATGCATTTCTAGAACCTACATAGAGAAGTTCTACTAAGTGTGTCCCTGAGGCCCAAAGATCTGCATTTCTGAATGTTTCATTCAGATGCTGATGTAGCTAGCATTCTCAGACCAATGAGAATCACTGCCTAACATTTGATGGGGAAATGGCTGGCCTAAGAGTATAGGTGTTTAAATTTGAATCTCACTCTTAAAGCAATCTCACATTAACATAGAATGATTCATGCTAATTCACACAAAGGAATATAATCATATTTGGTGAGCCCTAAACTAATTTAGACATAATTCAAAATTCAAAACATCTAAAAAGGAAGAAACCAGTAGGTTTTTAAGTTTGTAACCCAAAGTAACAAAAAAAAAATCCATTTTGTAATAGCCAGTGGAGATAACATTAAGGAATAACCATGTGTTATTTGAAGAGAAGAGATTCCCTAAATATAATAAATATTATATAAAAATATTATATATACAATACCCTAAATTGAAGACATCCAACCAAATAATACAAATATTATTCTGTATTTATTCCTTATTTTTAACATTTTATTTCTGTTAGACTGAGTAACCTTGATCTGTTCGGGCTGCTAAGCCAAGCTGAATCTATGGGGATAATTGCTATTGACATCACTAACATAAAATCAAGCCTTTAGGGAGCCATAACTGTCTCTTCAAATGATTTGGGAAAATGTGTATATCTTCAATCAATTGAATGCAGCACAAGTTCAGCCGATCACAAGTGATCAACACGCCCCTGTTCATCATCCTTCGCCGTATGAAAATGGCACCCAGGGAAATTGATTTCCATAACACTCATTTTCATTCTTTTAACTCAACAGTGCACAAAATTTAAGGCAGTTTTCATGATCTACCCAGAGTACATCCTGTAGTTAGCCTGCCTTGCACCAGAGCTCATTTGAAGATACCCAAGCAAATGACAGGAAACTTTCCACTCTGTCCTTTGAGATAATGGAGCCGGTTTACAGAGCCACTATACCTTTAACCTAGTCCCAATCACAAACCTTTGCTTTCCAAGGACACTCAGGAAGCCAAACCCTCAAACGTACTGCAATTACCTCCAACTTTTAAAATCTCGTTGTCTTTTTAAATGAGGTGCACCCTGTTGTGTCATCATCATCTCTGGTTTAACTGTGTGAAAATTTCCTGCCAATCTCACACCGCTGCGACAACCTCACGGTGCTACTTGCCCTGCAAGTTCTGCAGTGTGCAGTCCGAGTCTGCTGTTTTAACTAGTTCCTGCAGCAGGACACAGGGCGAGATAGTCTGACACAGAACCGGTTCTCTTCTTTACTTTTACTCTTAGATGAGTAAACTGTTCACATCAACCCAGGGCTCAGCCCTCCCGGTCTCCTCAGCGCAGCCCCTCCTGACCCAATGCAGTTAACCCAACCTCATTCAGCGCTAGTATCAAATGACACTCAAGCTGCTGCAGTATTCATCCTGAGACTAAGTAGGCAGGATTTATTATCTGCAGAAGTCCCCTAACTACTAGGTTATTCAAGCTCCGTTCTTGTCACAAACAGGCGCCACAGAAGACAAGTGCAGCCGACACAGAGCTCATTTCCAAGACAAGCGAATTCACAGTTAGAGACAAGGGCAGCCCGGCAGCAGAGGAGAACTGCAGTAAATCTTTTCATGCTCACAGCAATATCTAACAATGCTCTCCTGCAACGCCTCAGATCAAACGGATCCTACTTGGTTTAAACATCAAATCAACACTGTAAAAATGCTTCATTAGCAAATGTCAACTTAGGATGTTCTTAATCGTGTCTTAATGCTAGGATCAGTGCAAGACTTTCAGCACTTATTCAAGCATGCTGACAGAATTGGAACCTCTTAGAATTGACTACCTGCACCTATCAGCCTGGCTGATAGGAGCACTCCAAAGGATTAAAAAAAAAAGATCAAATCATGCAAAAAAATATTTACCCCCAAAAGATGTATGTAGTTAAAGCTCAGCTTCTTGCAGCCTCCATAGCCCATGAAGTGTTAATCTGAAGAAACAGTTCCATGAGTTTCCACAGGCCGGTAGTGAGTCTCCTACACTTGACCTAGACAGACTTACATAATGAAGCATCAGTGCTGGGGAGCTTGCACGATGTCATCACCAGCAAGAGTAAGAAGTATTGGCAGCAGCAAGCAGGCGGGCAGGCTGAGATCTTGCGTGCAAAGCATGAACTCTCTCTTGCTTTTCGTTTTTGAAACGTTTTGGGAGGAGAGTTATGAATAGCCCAGAAATAGGTCTCATTTTATGGGTAGGAAGAATGACCAGAAGCATGAAAGCTAAATCTCCTAGCAAGTGCAGGGTACCACTCTTGGACTGTGCAGTAAACCCAAGGGGAGGACTTTGCCTGCTGTGAACTCCTGAACCGTCACATCTAGAGTGAAGGGGCTGGTGAAGCTTTGTAATAAATGCAAAGGATGCTGCCGAGAGAGCTTTGGTCTGCCTTTAACTCATTGTGGTGAGTAGAGGGGGATATGGCAGTATGAAATGAGAGTTGGCTGTGTAGGTTGCTTTGCAGAGTGATAACCAAAAGATCTGTAAAGTGTCCAATACTTTAGACACGTTTTTATAAACAAGATGATAGGAAAATTACTCTTCTAGATCAAATTGAGACTGTGCTGGGTTAAACTGTTTGATGCATTTTAACTGCTGATGTTCATCCAAGTAATAAGAACAGGTACACATCTCTGGTTTCCAGACAAATGTCAGATATGATAATTTTACTGTCTGTACTGAAAAAAAAAGTTATGAGTTTTCTCGTTAGATTTTGCATATACTGAACCATTTTTTTAGACTTTGAAAGCAATCTCTATGAATGCATCATGGAATTCTTGTTTTATTTTGTCTGTGTTTTTTGTTTTTTTAAAGATGGTCCTTCTTAGATTCACTTTTTGATACCCAGGGGAATATTTTAAGCAGCAGATTAAAAAATATTATACTGTCTAATTAGCAATCAATTATCTCAAGAGTATGTAATATGAGTTACAGTCTTAACACCTACAAACAGTAAATCCAGTCTTCCATCATGATTCTGAGTATGATGATTTCATATGAGCATAAGATGACATCATACTATTTAGGTATATGTAAAATCATGGTTCTACGGGGTTGTGGACAAAACTATCTAGTTTTGGAGGTGACAGAAGTAGAGAGGACACCATGTACTATTGAAAAACAATCACAACCTTCTTTTCTTAGCTAGGGAGTTTGCTGCTATCAGCCACATTAAGACTGGGGTGAGGAGATGACACACTGCAGGTCTAGGAAAGAACACGGTGATCTACTTCCTCGTGTTAGTCAATGAGTAAGGAAATAAATATTAAAAGAGGTTAAATGTGTCTAAGCAAAGGTAGGAGAGGTTTTCCTCAGATTCACCTGGTAGTTTTGCTACCACAGTACAGTAAATGCTTGTTTTCATTTGTTTTGTACTAGAACATGGGCTGGATTTACAGAGTTATTTTTTTCTCCAGACAGACCTTAGTGTCACTAAAGATTTGCATTTTTTTTGCAGCAGCATAATTTGGAAAAAAAAACAAGTTATGTAAAAAATAAAAGGAGAAATCTCCTAACACCCATCCTCCTTCCTAGAACTGTAAAGGACATATTGGCATACTGTTGAGTTTCATTTTCAAAGCCTCAAGTTGTATTCTGAATATTAAGTTATATAGATGGTGTTGATGTGAATTATGCAATAGGCTTCTCTGTGTTTTGAAGCATTTCTGACCTGGGAGTAAACCACATAGGAGGCAAGGAACTGGAATATTCATTCCATTTTTAAAAGTTCTGTCTTACGTTTTTGAAGAACACTAAGCAAGCCTCTTTGTAGTCTGAAACTGATTCTCACACTCATGTCTCTGCCATTAGGACAGTGCTTATTGGACTCACTGAATGTTTGCTGAATGAATGAATAGAAGAATGAAACAGGGTTCACAATGTGTATTCATGTATGGGGAGCTGCATCCACTACGGTTTAGTTGAATTCTTTGGAGAGTAGTTGAAATTGTCTATAAAATTATTTATTAACATGTTAATTTAATAATTTCCTATGCAAATGGATGCTTCTGAAATACTTGTTCACAAACTGGTTTTTTTTGTAATGTTTACTGTAAAGATTCTCCTATTGGATAGATGCAATAAGAGGTTTAATTAAAGGAATTTGGGGTTTCCACAGTGATGTAGTCATCTGGAGGTAGGACTTTAGAGTCAGTCCAGCAAATGCCTAGTGGTTTGAGCTCAGTGTTCTTCCTCTTGACCGTTCTCTTTCATCTTCAGATCTGTTCTGAAACAAACAAAATGGCCTCAGCATGGCTGCCTCCCCACTAGCAGCTTGACTGGAATGTAGGTAAAAAGAAATAGGAAACAATACGTGTTAGGTACCAACAGTTCAATTGTTTCTCCAAGAATATTTCTTGAGGACCATCGGAGACTGACTTCCATCTCATAGTGCTTAACTGTGACAAATGCCTTCTACAGGATTGTCCAGAATAGCTGGCGTTTTTGTTAAGATGTTGCCACATCCCAGTGAAACTTGGGTTCTGTTTTTACGGCCAATGTAGTATTCCTCTCTGTATTAACTACTTTGGTCTTTGCTGTGACAAAGCATCTGACAAGACGGGACCTGAGGAGTTAATTTCGGTTTACACTCAGAAGGGATGCAGTGTTTCATGATAAAGATGCATGGTAACATAAGCTGAAGGCAGCTAGCTGGTCACATGATGTCCAAGGTCAGAATGCAGAGACACGATATACTCCTCCTCAGTTAGATGTTTCCGTTTTCTTTAGCACAGGACCCCAGCCCATGAAAGCAGCCACATTTAGAATGGATCTTCTCATCTTAATTAGGCCAGTCCCTGACTGACAGGCCTAGCCAGCTGTCTCCTTGGTGACACTACAGACCTTGTCAAGTTGACAGTCAAGGTTATCCAGCACACTCTCCTGCACATTCTCCTTACCTTATAGTTTGTATTTCTGGTAAAATCCTAACACATTCAGCATGGCCAGACAGTTTAGGCTTGCTTAAATTAGAAAATCACAGAGACTTCTTTTCATTGAAAGAAGAAAGCAAAAGCTTTCATTTTTAGCTGTGTACATGTGTATTGTGGGGGATGTGCGTGTATGTGAGTGCAGATGCCTACAGAGGCCAGGCGATGTCAGACTTCCTGGAACTGGGGTGATAGATGTTTAGTCGTCACCCTGATGTGCGTGTTTCTATATAAACTAGGGTCCTCTGAAAGAGGAAGTTGTGCCCCTAACTGCTAAGACCCCCTCTTTATTGGATATTCTACTTATTTACATTACAGATGTTATCCCATTTCCCCATCCGTGCTCCAGGAACTCCCTACCCTGTCCCCCTTCCCACTGTTTCTATGAGGGTGTGCTCCCACCCATCCACCCACTTCCCTCTCCCAGCCTTTGATTTCCCCCACACTGGGGCATCCCTCCTTCACGGCACCAAGGATCTCCTCTCCCACCACCCATCGTCCACTGCATATACAGCTGGAGCCATAGGTCCCTCCATGCATGTTCCCAGGCTGGCAGTTTAGACCCTGGGAGCTCTAGTTGGTTGGTATTGTCTCTCTTCCATGAAGCCACAAGCCCCTTTAGTTCCTTCAGTCTTCTCCCTACTTTCTCCGTTGGGGACCCCATGATCAGTTCAATGGATAGCTGGAAGCCTCTGGATGGGGATCCATCCCATGTGCAATCAACAAACATATACACTGTTGTGGATTCCAGGAAGTGCATGCTGACAGGAGCCTCATATACCTGTTTCTTAAGAGGCTCTGCCAGAATCTGACATATACTGAGCCATCTCTCTATCCCTGAATCATTTTGTTGTATAATTGGTCCCTTCAGTTACAGCTGTTCAAAGGCCTATTGATACATAAAAAAAGAATCTTACTTGGTATAATAAATGGATTCTGAGTTAAACCCTAGCTCTCAGTATCTCTCTAATAAGTAAACTCCAGCCTAGCTAATTTAGAAACAATGCTACTGCCTCTGTTGCTGACTATTCCCAGTTTCCCTACTTACCTGTCAAAACCAACTGAACTGGAAAGCATGAGCTTCTCCTGGGTGAGTCATGGACATCTTTCTACTTTCCATCAAATTATATAATACTGCCATTGATCAGAAATCATTTTGCATCCTGAGACACTGAAATAAGAAGGGTCATCTATTCAAAAACCTTACTTTACACATTCTTAAAATCAATATTTGTAGAGAAGACACTTGACTTCTAAAACTAAACTTCAATTATCTTTGAAATAATCTCTTCAAAAACAATTTCATATTGAATTTGTCTCGCTGAAATCCAGGGGCCATCAGTGGCATATATGCATACATACATACATACAATGTGTGTGTTCCTCTGCGTGTGTGTATATGTATGTGATGAGTTTTGTATCATACTTGTTTTTTTTGTTTCATTTTTATCATACAATAGTTTTCTTTACTGAAATAGATTATTTTCTCTTATAATATATCCTGATTATAATTCCCCTTCCCTCTACTCCTCTCAGCTTCTCCCTCCCTCCCCTCTCCTCTACATCTACACCTTTTCTGTCTCTCATTAGAAGAAAAACAGGATTCTAAGAGATAATAACCAAACATGACAAATCAAGTATAATAAGATGAAACAAGAAACATCATATCTCAGTTGGATACCAAAACCCAGCAAGAGTAAAGAGTACCAAGAACAGGCACCTGTGGGTCTTGTAACATATACTTGTAATCCCAGGCCTTGGGAGCCTGAGACAGGAGGACCTAGAGTTAAGGCTAGCCCAAATGATGTAGTGATCCTAGGTTAACCTGGTTACACAATAAAAGCCTATCTTATAAAATGTATATGTAATATAATTGTGGTATCAGATCCAATATGACTGTTCTCTGCATATTTTGTTTGACTTTACATAAGAACTAAATTATTGCTTTTTTGAGAAGGTTGATGTTGTCAGTGTATTTAAAAACATATCCTTCAAATGATGGAAATAAGTTACTTTAGGACTTGAAGACACATTCTTTAAAGTAATTTCTTGATCTTATATTCTATAAATGCTTCTAGTTCCTCCAATCATACTCACAGTTAGTTCGTTATTTCATTGCTCTAATACTCTTATAATGATTATAAAGTTTATTTTACTACTCTTTAAAACAAGCAAAGGGAGAAAGAGTTGTATGTCTCTTCAAATCTCAGTTTACCGCCTTCTCTTTGTCTTGTAACCTTCCTTCTGTGAAGAAGTCTCTTTTGGTCTGAGTTCAGAATTAAGGCATGGGACTTTGGATCCAGCCTTAGGAGTTCAGAACTCAGCAGCAAGCCTCACATTTTGACATGGTGATCTGTGAGCAAAAAGAGCTGAAAACAAGCCCCACCCCTTCTACTGAAGATCAGAGTTTCTCTGGGGGTGCAGATGAACTGGCTGAACAGGTTTAGGTTGATCCAAGTCTGTTTATCCTTTTTGC